CAGTGGACAATGAGCATAAAGCCCCTGATGGCTCTGGGCGCTGACTCTCACCAGTGGCTATGGATGAAGTCACAGGCGATTTTCAGCCAGCGCCGGCGGGGTTTTTTTAAATCTTGGAGAAAAAGTGATTCTTTCACCTGGACGTTAACTACTAGGAAAGACCTGACATTTTCCATTTTGACCATCTGGGGAGGAAAGGGTTGCTAGGGGAGAGAGAATTCACAATAAATTCTCTAGTAACTTGTTACTAGAAAGTGTGCTTTTCTAACTAGTGAGCTCAGATGAGTTTGCTCACAGGTATGTTTGTGTATGTGTAAGTATTAAGCAGCTTTGGTTTCTATTATTTGGTAAAGAGGTAAAGAAATAAAACATATTTTTACTTAGGTTTATTTCTAAACATATTAGAATTGGCTTGAGAATTGAGATCATATTAAGAAGTTTATTTTTTAAGAAAAGCATTTCCCTTGAGGTTGAATTTATTAATTTTTTTTTTCAAAAGAGACCAATGAGAGTGTGAAAATATTTTAGCACAACAGATACTTGGTACAAGAAATTGTTTTGAAGGTAGTTCATAATTAGGTTGTATTTTCAATGATAATTGAAGATGGACAAACATGTAAAATAAAATTAATACCATTGTAAGTTCTTCTTGGATTTGTTTTTACCTCTCTTCCTTTACCTACTTGGTTCTCTTACCATTTAATAGGAAAGTTGGATGATGAATAAGGAAGATCAAAGAAGAGCTGATCTTTAAATGTTGGGTGTTGTGAAAGAATATTGAATATACTGTGGCCTGCTAACGAACAAACAAATCTGTCTTGTGAGAAATGCAACTTTGGAAGAACAAGGTTCCTTAGACTTCATCTCACATCCTTTGGCCCAATTACCAGTATAGGGAACAGTCATCAAGCTAGTAGATAGTCAGCAATAAAGGGGAAGACCATCAGGTGGGTTAACCCAATGATGGCAGTAATGGGCTTATGCACGGCAGAGATAGGGAGGATGGCACAGGTTACCAGACAAGATTTTGTTCTGTTATACACGGGGCTGCCTGAGTCAGAGCCACCTTGATGGCATCTGACAGCACCCACCATTTAGTGATTGAGTGGTGTCTCACACCAGTGCAGTGCTGCTGTTGCTGCTGCTGTTACGTACTGTCAAATCGGAACCAGCCCTTAGCTGAACCTCCAACAGGTTCTTACAGACAGTAAATTGCACAGGATAAGATTGACCATCTTTCTCTTTTGGAGGAGCTGGTGGATTTGAACCATGTGCCTCTGGGTTGACGGTGCTCTTCCTTACCAATAGGCCACCAGAGCGCCTAGAATACATACAGAAAAAAATGCAGGTTGAAATCCTTCGAGGGCCAGATTGCTGGGATTGCCCATGTTTCATCCCTTTGAGGATGAGCATTTCCTTTGTCCTTGAGACCAACAACAGACTTTGAGGAGCTCTGAGCTCTTGCCCCCCATTGTGTATGCACATTTCTGCTTTTACTCCGGCCCTTTTAGCATTTTCTTATATTTAATCTGCTGCTTCTGTTGTAATTGGGCTTAGAAACCATATAACAAAACTGAGTAATTTAAGCTGAGCCAGACATTTACAATTTAAACATCAGGTATTAACTGTGCAATTTAAAACACTTGTTATGTTGTTTTTCTTTTTTAAATATAGGGACACTTGTATTCTTCATTTAGGTAATAGAGTCTCCAAATTACACTAAGAAAGAAATCCTAATGAATATCAGTCTTATAAGAAATGTTTAGCACACTTGCCCTAATTAATTTCTGTAAAACAAAAATGTACTTTAGTCTCTCTGTGTTCCCTACCATAGACATTTTTTATCTTTAATTTTCTTAGCTTTCTGCCTAAATGCAATATTTCTGTAATCGGCTAAACACATAAACTGGTTGCATTCCTAATAAGTTTTTATGTTGTTTTAGTATAAACATATGCCATGTATTTTTATAAAATTTTGACAACCAAATTCTATGCAAAATAAGACTTTTTAAAGAGAAAATAGCACCAGATCCTGATCATTTCAATTCTGTGTTAGAGATGTTCACATATAACCTAAATTTCTCCCCTTAGCTTTCTAAGCAAGTCACTAACATTCCTCACTTTCCTAATTTGTAATCTGAGATGTCGTTTTAACTCTTCTATTTACACATGTCATGTTTCAATAGGGGAACATAACATTCTTGTATGTTTTTCATGCTTAATGCAGATACGTCATTGTAAGATTTTTGACAAAACTAAATATGCATACCTTATTTTAAGTACATATTTCTTCCAGTGCTTATAAAATCCAATATAATGATTGAAAATCTTTGTTGTCACTCTAAAGTGACAGCAGAAATTTCTAAAGTGAGCCACTTGTAAATGTATAAAAAAATATAAGTATCCTCTGGATTTAGTCTATTTTCTTCTGTCCACTGCTGTGTTTGAATTGCCATGTCATTAGAAAAATAAAGATGGTTTTAAGAGAAGACATCTTCCAAGGCCAACAGATTCTGGGAATCTGTTGGTTCTTGTGGAATTTGAAGACATTTTCAATATTCTGTGCCAATTCCATAACTCAAAGGCACGATTCTTCTTGGTCTTCTTTAGTGATTATCCAGGTCTTCCAGGCATTTGTGTCAGGCACACTTCAGCCTTCAGAAGAGCATCTTTGCTTTTAAACTCCTTGCTGAGATTTTTTCCCCCCTGAGATCTTTGCAGCAGAGTCACAGAAAGTCATTTGCTTCTTTGAAGCATTTTCCAACAGGGCAGATGTTCTGAATCCGATCCTCTATGGAGACGTTGCTGTATTTGCTAAGAGGTCATGAGTCAAAGTGTTCTATGGAGTGATTCCCATCTACTGCTTGTGCCACAGTCATGCTTATAGATCAGTTCATGCACAGATTTGGCTTCTCCCCTCCCCTATGTGATAAAGGGTTGCATGTTACCCTTTGTTGAGCTTAGCAGAGGTGCCACTGAAGATCTGGCAAAGGTGAAGGAGCTGCAGCTCCTTTCAACCTTTGGGCTCACACCATTGATGGCACCGGCTTTGATACCTTCTACAGGTATGTAGAGGTTGCCAGCTGTTCTTGCCAACCTAGCCTTGTGTATATCTGTCTGTGTTTCTTGTGATAGTTAGTACTTGTTCACAGACAAGCTTCCTACTTGCCCTTTGAAGCCTCGTTTGGACTATCTCTTTAGTTCTACAAAATTCCTTCACTTAAGACTTTCTGGCAAAAAAAAAAAAATAATAATAATAAAAAGGCTTTCTGACACAGCAAGAGCTTTTTCTCTCTCTCTGGTTCTTTGATGCCTCCATGGTTCCGGGTTTGGCGGGGGGGTGTGGCATGGGAGTTGGAAAAGGTGGTAAACTGGTAACTTCTGCATTTAAGGACTTGCTTATCTCACTGCCTTCTGACTCATAGTGACCCT